AAATCCAGAACGAGTACGTGATTTCTGAGAAGGAAAAGAGGTAGTTCAGCATTTGATGGATTGAGTAGTTCGGGGTTAGGAGTTTGAGAAACTCTCCATCAGTCCGGGCGTGTAAAAGGTGATGGTGAGTATGTGGTTCGGATTCCGGTGAAGGTTCGCTTGTAGGACTCGTATGAGTCGGAATGAAGATCTTGAGGTCAGATAGCATGGGATGCTTTCGTGTTAGCAGTCAGTGGCAGAAGCAGCATGTAGAGCATGGAAGAGTGGCGGGAGAGCCTCAGCTTTCTTCAGCAACAGTCAGTGGTGGAAAGTGATGTAAGACTACGGGGCAGCCGTAGCATTCACTAGCAGTCAGTGGTGGGAAGTGTTGTCAGACTACGGGGCAGCCGTAGCATTCACTAGCAGACGACGATAAAAGGTGATGTAAGACTGTGGGTAAGCCATAGCATTCCGTAGTAGCTTCGTTGGCGGAGTCGGGGTGAGGCCCTTATCTCCTAGCATTCAGATAGGGATCAGAAATGGGTAATGGATGAGAATGATAAGGAGTGTGCCTGTATAGCCCTTGAGAGGTGAGACCTTGGGAGAGGTCGTTCTAGGATATAGTCGGGTGAGACCCGTGGGCGAGGCCCGTGAGTTTTAATAGCACAGGTGGGACATGGTAAGGATCTTAGTGTATAGATAAGGGATCGGGGATCCCAGGAAATTGTAGTGCCAGCATGGTAGAATAGACTGAGCAGTATAGGTCGCTGAAGTTTCTTCAAATGTCGCGGGGAGCGACTAGTGGTTGTGTTGGGCCAGCGATCGGTGGGAGCCGGTAGTCCAGATATTGATAGGTTGGTAGGGACCAGGGTGGTCTCAGTTCATCCGGAAGCCAGATAAGGAATAGCAGAATTTCCAGTCAGTAGCAGTGTGAGTATGCAGCGTATGGTGGAATTCAGTTAGTCGATCGTGGGGTGCTCGACACCAAATGATAGTAGAAAGAATGCCATGTGGATACTGGCGATGATGACCTGTACTAGGAGTAGCGGGAGTAATAGATTTGGTGGAGACAGGGTCTTCACAGTGGTAGAGGAGATAGATGGTTATGGAGCATTGCCTTGGGAAGGCAAGGAAATCGCGCAAGGAAAGAAGGGGTGAACCCCCTATGGGTTCAGTTGCAGTACTCGGAGAGTGCCAGAAGGATTGTCGGTTGAGTAAGTTGTGTTTCCAGAATGTTCAGGGTCAGGATGGACCCGGGATTATTATCTGTAAGGATTGACGTTAGTTTGAATGACTGAGCGGAAGGCCAGCGAAGTTAGACAGCTGGTGTTAGACTAATTGGTGGGGTGTTGGAGGCAGATCACAGGCGGTGGATCATAGCAAACTTCGAGGATGAAGTTTAGTTTAAGTGAGGGAAAGTTGTAACACCCAAAGTTTGGAAGGCCAAGAAAAGAAAGAAAACCCTAATTTTAAAGGGCGACTCGGCGAGTCCAAGGATGAACTCGGCGAGTCCGAGCGGGATCCGGGTCAAGGAGTAAGTGACCGACTCGGCGAGTCTGGTCTGTGTGAGGAAAACCCTAAAATAAGGACTTGGAGCCTATTTAAACATCTCATTCTCTCCCCTAGGGCTCCTTTACTACCCCTTTCACCCAGAACATCGAACCCTAAGCCCTATTGTTGCTCATTCAAGCTTCCAAGCCATTTGTGGGGTGATTTGAAGGAAGAAGAAAAAGGGGAATCATTGGAGCTTCAAGGATTGGCCTTGGATTCGAAGATTGGAGGAGTTTTTTGAGTTATTCAAGGTATTAAGTATTTCTCTCCTTTAGATCTAGTATGGTTGTGAGTTTTGGGGGTTTTCTAGCCATGATTAGTTACCTCTTTTGAGTTAGAAGCCAGATCTGAAGTTGCTACTTCAGATCTAAGCTCATTATGGTCTTGAGAAGCATAAAGTAGCAGCCCTTGAGTTGATTTTGGAGCCTCTTTGCCTTAAACCCTAGTTCATGGTGTATTTTGCCTAGATCTCCTTCTCTACACGTAAAGTTTGCAACTTTACGTGAGGAATAGGCTTGGGAATGGTAGATCTACAGTTTGGAGTCCATGCATGACTCAAAAGCCCTCTGCATGTAAGGGGATCTGAATGGACTCGGTGAGTCCTTTGAGTGGACTCGGCGAGTAGCATGAAGATGAGGATCAACTCAACGAGTGGGATGAACAGCTCGTCGAGTCAGATGAAGATTGCCTTGTACTCGGCGAGTCTGTTCTTGGACTCGGCGAGTCAGGTTGCAAAACCCCAAACCCTTTGAGTTGAGACTCGAATCAGTGAGTTGGGTGGAGACTTAGTGAGTTGGACAGGCCAGGACTCAGAAATCGGTAGACTCGGCGAGTCATCGACTGACTCAGCGAGTCGAGACACGAAAGGAAGGACTCTGAATATATGAACTCGACGAGTCAGTAGGGTGACTCGGCCAGTAGGGTTGACGATGAAGGTTGACCTTGACCAGGAGATTGAATTGGACCAGGGTTGACTTGGTTGTCTTTCGGGGGTCAGTTAGGCTCAGTATTGCTTTGATATTGTTTGTTCGAGGAGCAAGGGGAGCAGGAGTTCAGTGAGTTGCTGGGCAGCAGCTAGTGGGATCATCAGCAAGTTCAGCCAGTGTAGGTGAGTTTCCCTTTGTGTGAATGGGTCTAAGGCCACAATGTCGGCTGATGTAGTTATGAGTAGAAGACCCGAGGGTTAGCCCTAGGCACGGTATGCTAGTATGATATTCAGGACGAGGTCCATTAATAGTGGGCGGCTGCCCAAGGATTTGTTTATATGATAGTTTATACTTGTTGTCTATGTGATACATGTATGTGCCTGTTAGGGAGGTAAGTGTAGGCGAGGTCCCGTATCTCACCAATAGCAGAGTGTGGATGGGGTTCCATATCTCACTAGTAGCATAACAGGGGCGAGGCCCAAGTTAAGGAAGGAGTGAGGGTGGACTGGGCCCGTATATCACTACTAGTAGGAGCGTGGACGAGGTTCCATGGCTCATCAGTAGCAGGATAGGGGCGAGGCCCAGGATAGGCGAGGCCTTAGGGCAGGATCAGTCGTATGACTTTAGCTTATGTGTTGTGATATGTTTATGTGTTATTACTTGTTGGCGGGCGAGGCCCTATGACAGGCGGGGCCTAAGTGAAACAGATCTGTATCTGAGCGGGGCTCGAAGCCAGGCGGGGCCTGGAGCGGCGGGGCCGTTGTAGCGGGCGAGGCCCGAGGTAAGGGGCGAGGCCCAAAATAGCGGGCGTGGCCCAATATGTGCAGTATGTGATTATGCATGGTATGTGGTAGGGTGGGGAACTCACTAAGCTTCGTGCTTACGGTTTTCAGTTTTGGTTTCAGGTACTTCCGGTAGCGGAGGGAAGAGCTCGGGATGATCGCATGGCACACACCATAGATTAGATAGCCTGGGAATGTTTACTCTGATAATGAACATGTGTTTTGAAAACTAATACTCTGATTATGTTTTGGAATGATGACTTTGCTTAAAGTAATGTTTTATTAAAAGAAATTTTTGGTCTTGAATTTTGGGTTGTTACATTTATGTTTAGGGGCAGATTGGTTATTTTATGTTTAGGGGCAGAATGGTCATTTTTATAGGGGTAGAATGGCTATTTTATGTTTAGGGGCAGATTGGTTATTTTATGTATAGGGGCAGATTGGTCATTTTCTGTAGCATCTTACTTTACTTTTATGTTTCTCCTCAAACCACTCTCAACCCAATCTGCATTCTAGCTACATAACTGTTATGGCACACTAACAAAGGACAAATCAAGATTCAATTTTAAAAAAAAGTCAAACAAGCATAAATGAACAACTAAATAACAAACATCGATTTTTTTGAAAATTTTGGAGAGTTGAATAGTTTGGTAAACAAATTGAAGTCAACCTTGAATATACAAAATCCAACTTGTAGAAATAATGAGCAGATATGAAAGTAAAAGTTTTGGGGACCAACGTGATTTCCCTAAACAATCTTTCATTAGGTTGTTTATAGAAGGCAAACAGGCTTAGCTTGATACAGGTTTGTAATAGGAACGATTTCTTGTGAGATTTTGTTTATGTTTGTAACAATTGGCAAAAATATAGACTTTTGTACGATGATCTATGTTAATAATAAACAACGAATAAGATATTATCTAAAAATACTAAGAAAAATTGTTACAAGCTTGATAATAATGTGAGAAAATTTCATGATCTAGGAATTTGTCGAATACCGATGTTATTTTTATAACCTAAACTAGAACCGGGTTCTTGAAAACAGCACCGACTGATAACCGGGTGTTCAAAACATTATAATTACATGGCTTTTGGTAACAACAAATTTTATTAACGTGACTTGTGATACTATCAATGGACAAATACACGAATTTGAAATGTATCAAACTTAGTCGTTTATGAACGAAGACAACGGAAAAGAAGTAATATTTTACCAAATGAAAAATAAATAAATACTCTAGACTTATTAAATTACGTATTTGGGTAGAAGTATTAAAGAGCTGAAGCATGTATAATCTATATATTTATACATATATAAAATAACCAACGTAATATATATATATATATATATATATATATATATATATATATATATATATATATATATAGTAATATAAGAACATTACCACAAACAAGAAGTGAAAGGTACATGGAATATTATGTCAAAGTTATCCAAGCATGAATATATATATATATATATATATATATATATATATATATATATATATATATATATATATATATATATATATATGTATATTCAATTTAAGCAATTCACCAATTATCCTACTTCTTAGCTTACGTATTATTCCTAACATACTTGAGCATGCACATGCATAATATCTACTAAAGATATGGTCTAACATTAAAGAACATTAAATAAATTAACCCAAACAGAATCTAGTTTCATTCCCTCTCAAATCTCGTCACCCACTTCCCTCCCCCTCAAAACTAAATGGAAACAAGGTAACTAACTTCTAACTTAATGGGAATACTCATCCACTTGCATGAGCTAAATCAAATCAATATGATTACCATTATCTTGTGAGATTTGCATCTATCTCACTCTTCTCTCTAGCCATAAATACATCGGCACCCTTACCTCTATTTCACTTTCATTCTTCTGCAAACAATCACTCCTCTTTTCTCTGAATATCATAACAGAAATCAACTTTCTTTCAACCCCTTTTCCCTTCTTCACGAAACCCATCAGAAATAGAAGAAGAAATGGAGCGACTCCCTCCTCCTTTATAGCTTCCTGTCACAACCATTTCACACCTGTTTTCAAGCTGTTTTTATCTCAAAAATACCCCTTAACGTACCTCCTGTTACTGCTACCTTTGAAGTCAAAAAAACAACCCCAAAAGCTCTTCTTTTATTATGTTTTTGCTGAATTTTCGAGACCTGAAGCAGTGATATAAAGAGCTGTTTTTTCGAGTGGCTTTTAACATCCAAGAACCCACTGTTTTGCTGTAAAAAAAAAGACATACCGATTTGGCTATCAAAAACTCATTGTTTTGCTGCCATTTTTCAAGATCATAACAACCCATTTGAAAGCCATTTTCGAGTGACATAGATCCCATGACAACCTCTTCCATGATGCCTAGAATGATGGTGTTCAACTCATGATATAACAATCGTTTGTGATAGCGTTAGAATAAAGGTATACATAAAACTTTTACTTATGTTTTACATCTTAAAAATAACCCAAAAGTTGTTATGAATAACTAGTTGTAATTTCTAACGTAATCTATCATCATCTATGTTAAGTCCTCCCAAAGAATACTTCCATCACAAACCTTCAAGAAACCGGGAACATTTCGACATCTTTGAACCCGATAACGATACGCAACTAAAGTGAGTTTTCTACGGCCCCTCTTTTATATTTTACAAGTTTTGGGGGAGAATACACACTAAAAAAGTTCTAGTTGAAATATTTAAAGGCTTTGCTAACTAAAAATGCAAGTTATGTCCACTAAACATATCTAAGCTCAAATTTCAGCTTTTCACAGTAAAGTTATGCTCTGTTCACGGACTGTTTTCCCCTCCTTAAGCTCATTGGATTTCAAAAATGTACAATATGGAAATAGTTCAGGTTTATACCTTTCCAAGGACTACTTGCACACATTCATACGATTTTTATACAATTTATAATGATTTTTATAAAACTGTCTATCATTTCATAACATTTTCGGACCTGTCTGTAAAAATGAACATTTTCACTCAGGTTAGGAACCACTTAAGCTCAGGGTAAAAATTATGGACAAATTAGACTCATTTTATAAACATTGAGAGTTTACGGATCCAGATTTCGACTTACGATAATTTTTCTATGATTTTTCTAAAAACATGGACAGAATTGCCCTTTTGATTTATCTTACTGTTTGGACTTTCAAAAACATATACAAAGTGTTGTGGTAAATAAGTACACCAATTACAATATTTTTTGGTTCACACATACTTTAATAGTTACAAAAGTGTAAATTATAATAAGTATTTTTAATATGATCATGCTTTTTAATATGATCATGCTGAAAACCTCATAAGATATGATGATTTGGACTATGTTGATTTTGGTCACTCATAGTCGGTATGCTGTATAAACTTTGTTATTCACTTACAATCGGAGTACTGTCTATATATATATATATATATATATATATATATATATATATATATATATATATATATATATATATATATATATATATACAGGGGAGGGTTCATGCGAAAATGCAAATAATTTGCGAAAACGCGAAAACAAGAAAAACTTATGATATTATATCACCTCAACATTATATTTTGGAAAATAATTCATCCAAACTTTGAAATACATGATGATAATCGATGATAGATGATAAATTGTTTCATATTAGCAAAATATGATTTTTAACATTTTTATCATGAAAACATGAATTTAAAAATGATTAAAGACGTAAAAAAAATATAATTATAAAACCGTCTTTAAATCTATATTACCATAACACCATCCAATTCAAACTTACTATCTTTAATTTATTGCTAATAAAATTATTTTTTTATAGTACATGTGTTTAATTTTCATAAGATAAAATCTGTTTTCGCGTTTTCGCAAGATATTTATATTTTCGTATGAACTTACTTCTATATATATATATATATATATATATATATATATATATATATATATATATATATATATATATATATATATATATATATGGTCACTTACAGTCGACGTACTGTTTAAACTCGTATAACGACACATATGACCGTTGTCCTGTTAGAACTTTGGTAGTTTTACATTTCTAAGCATTAGAACCAAAAGTCTTTAAATCCAAACAATCGGGAATTATAACAAAGTCCCGGAAATAAATATACTAAGACACACTGGGATGAGGTTGTATGTAGTATGAATATTGTTTATAGACTTCTAAAACGATTGTTAGTGTCTATCTATACAAACACTAAATATTTTGCTTCTCATAAATATGTTAAAATTTACTTTTATGGTAAGTAAGTAACATGGGTACTCGTACTAGATTTCATGTATCGGTTCTCACACGAAGCATATCGGTAACATTGTTGACCATGTTTTGCACAATTTACTTCGTTAAACATCCCATGTTTTATAAGGATTTCATGTTATAAAACTTACGGAGTTAAAACCTGTGGAACTCACCAACAATTTTTGTTGACGTATTTTAAAAATGTGTATTCTCAGGTAGCTAAGGAGCCGGAGGTAGGACATCGGTTCTAAGGAAATTATAGTTCATTTCTTTTGGGAAAAATCTTGAACTGTTTTTATTTACTGTTGTGTGTTTAAACTATGAATATGTAATTTTAATTCCAACACTTTAAGGTTTGTAATATATTGATTTAAATATATTAAGTGTTCGATATATGTGGTTGACTATGATCCAATTGTATAACGTCGCAACCTCGACGATTTCCGCCGCGGGTCGGGGTGTGACAATGTTTTTTATATAAAATTTATAGAGTTGTAAGAGCCAAAAGAATCTACCGTTTATATCATTTGATGACTTAAATACATTATTTGAAGAAACTGAATGTGAAATCAATAAACAAGTTAAATACAAACGTTTATTGTAAATAATTTACAAACATGTATCACTATGGAGTTACTTGATCACACTCAATATCAAAACTCTCTAAGAAAAAGTTAAAACGTTTACCTTATAATCTTTTATTCCCACCGATTATATAAAAATGCATCATGAAAGGGCTTAAGTTGCTCCCGTTGCTAAGCACCAACTGCATTTATAAAAAGTTAAAACATTGACCTTATAATCTTTTATTCTCACCAAACCAATCTAAAATAAGGAGGTGTTTGACATTACTTATTAGCTTATAAGATAATAAGTAAGTGGGGGGTAACTTATGATAAAATGACTAATTAGAGGTTTCCTATCAAAATAAGTTATTTTCATCCAAATACTTTTTTTAATTTATAATGGTGTGGAACTTAATAAGTTGTTTTAAAAAGCTTAGCTAAACACCCCTTAAGAAACATTATTATTTCAAGCTTTTGACACTAAATTGAAGTATTGAACTAAAAACAAACTCATGAATCAAATTTAAGTATGCTAGAGTCAACTTTCAGATTATTAATATATAACTAATCATGTAATATTTAAGAAATAGATAAGTAACTATACGTGGAATTTGTAACAACATAATTTGAATAGAAGATTTTTATTAGATTGTTAATTAAACAAAATATTTTCTATATATATTATGCTTAGACCTTACGAGTTAGTTTAATTCATTAAAGCTTTCTATGTAATCGTTCTGATTACAGTTTTTGTTATATATTATTAATGATATAATGATATAATTACTAATGTGAAATAAATTTTTGTTATATTTTTGAACTAACAACGAAATATTGTTATTTTATATTGTTGAACTCTGAATAATAATTTTGATTGATATAGTCGTTTTTATATAATTTACTATTTGTTTGTTGTAAATACTTAAAAAGCAGTTGTATTTTTTTAGGCTTAGAAAAATAAGTATTTTGTTTGTCTGTAATTTTTCTCATACATGGAATAAAGTGATTTACATATAAATTATAAAATTTTAATATGAAAATCTGCAACCATATAATATATACCCGGTTTCATCTTAATTTGACATGAGTTGAATAGTCGAATGTTTATCTGTAAGATGAGATTTACATTTTTAACCAACTTATTATAGGACATGAATAGTCATACATAATAATTATAGAGAATTGTAATTTCAATTATGTTCGAGCGGTTAACTAAATTGTTTCATCTTTTACATGGCTAACTTCTAATTAGACAAAAAAAAATAAAAAGATGGGCTCCAATGAAAATATCCAATGAATCAATTCTTGCCAAAGGGCATGATTGTCGAGTAATCCCTCCAACAAACATAAGACCTATTAAAAAATTTACATTCGATCTATAGATTAGAAAAACATTTAAAACCGTAAAACTGACCATATATATCCATTACTTGTTCTTTGGTCTATCAAATGCTCCCGAAGATAAAGTATTTGTTGCCGCTGGTTTGGAAATGAGTTGTTACTATATAATTGTTTTTTTTTTTTTTTTTTTTTTTTTTTTTTTTTGATTTGGTCATTTTATGTTTTGTAAATTGGTTAATATTGAATGGTTTTTATGGCTCGATACGATAGCCGCAAAGAAGCTATTCACCAAAATAAGTTAATCTCTGTTGGAAACTATTCGCCACCGCCACTTTGTGCGGGTACACTACTAGTGTGTGTGTGTGTGTGTGTATATATATATATATATATATATATATATATATATATATATATATATATATATATATATATATATAGCGAGAGAGAGGTAGGGCCAAATGTTTCTACCAACTATTATGTTTTTGAATGCACCAATCACAAATTAGAAAATAATTAAATAATTTATTAAATAGGTAAGGATATTTTGGACCTTTTTTTACTTTTAATTAATGAGACAATTTAATAGATTTTCTGCAATTAAGGAAAGAAAATAAAAATGTTTGACCTAGTATCTCTTATATCATCAGAAGATGTGACATCTTCATTTTCACGGCCAGAAAAAACCGATTTTGCTTATGTTTGTTTGAAAACCAGAGTAAAATTGTAAAGAAAAGTGTTGCGGAATTTGTTCCTAGAAAAACATGATAAATACGTTATCAAAGCATTCCCAAATAAATGTATTTTATTCATTTTAGAACATTGGGATGTCATTGTCAATATAGAAACATAAGCATAAACAGAACTTACATTCATTATTACTAGTGATTTATATCTCCTTAATCTCTCAGTGTAATGTAACCTCATATCGACACCTGTGATACAATTAAACTGAGTGGGTCAGATCGGGAAACTTAGTCAGTACATAGGGTTTTCAACCCACAATAATATAATTATTATGTTTAAACAATCAAACAATCAACCCAAATTTCTCATCCCCATTTTCATCCCTATTCTTAAGGATATACCCTAAGAATCAGCTATTTCTCATTCATTCATTCCTAAGGATTATTCTAAGGAATAGGTACGAAGTCAATTGTTGTCAATAACACAGCTATCAAGCACCGCTGCTAGTTCTATCACTTA